TGAATAACTAATTTTTATTTATTTGTTTTGTTTTAAGGAATAACCAGTTAATTAAATAATGAAAACTTTATGTTAATCATGTTTTTATCTTCAGGTGTAGTGTTAGACTTCACTTTTTAAAGGGCATTTACAAACATACAACACAGTTCTTATGGACTTACATATCTAACAAATAAACTTTGATTTTTGTATGATTAATTGTATGATGTGAATCCTAACTTGAGATGTCTAAATAATTTTTGATGAACCAAGAATATTAAAATATGATAAACTTTTGTAAATTAATTGCTCATCACTCTATTTTGTGCCAAAAATTTCAGTATTTTTTTGGCTAATATTGTGTTTTGTTATTGCCCTTGAGTTAATGCAGTCGTGTAATCTTTAATTCATGTGTCAAGTTTGCATCAAGAAGCTTTCTTTGTGTGATCGGGACAAAGCCTTTTAGATTTTTCTGTCTATCCCTATTTTTTTCCTTGCTTTGTATGTGTATTCACATACACATTCTGAATCAGTTTCTTAGCTTCATGTTATAATTAGAAGCCATTCATAATCAATCATCATGTAAAATATTTCTCTCCTTGCATTTTGGCAGGAGGGTGAAACTTCTATAACCGGAAGGATGTTCGAAGATAACAACAAAGGGTCTGGAATCAATATGCTGTCATGGAATGATTTGCAGAGCCTCACAATAATCTATTGCAATGGTATAAGAGACGACAAGGTTAGTCCAGCCCTTTCAGGTCATTTCTCCATCCCCAAAGAGTTCAAGTGACGAATAGACTCCAAATATGTTCTTTCCATGAATTCAACGGTAGCTATATATATATATATATATATATATATATAAAGCTACCGTTGAATTCATGGAGAGAACATATATATATATATATATGTAAGAACTGAGCGGTATGTATGTAAATAGTCAGCATATATTTTAGTAGTATTTTGTAAATCCAAATTCAGAAAAAGTTAAGCTAAAGCATGAAATCTATTGAGCATTGCAAATGTTAAATTTTACTATATTTTGATGAATTATTTAGGCGGATGTTTCAAGATTTAAGGTATGAAGGCTAGAGATATCATTATTTAGCCGCTAGTGCAATATGGTTTCTCCTAGTTGTTAAAGTAATAACTCTCTCGAGTCATTAAGGATTCAAAACAAATTTTAACATATCACTTGGCCAAAATGATAAGTAAATTAAGAACAAAGTAAAACCATTATATTAATGATTAAAAATTTATTCTAAATGTAACCAAGTATCATACATATATTACTAATTCATCACATAATAAGGGTATAAATGATCTAATCAGAGTGCATTAAGAAAACATTACAATTCAACATCTTATAATAAAACAAATTGATAGAAAATGAGTTTGCAACTAATACAAGACAATGTAAAATGAAACACTTGGCTTTTTCCCTGAGAAAAGAAGTGAAAACTCATCCCTAAGTGATCTTCAAATGTTTATTGCACTGATAACAATATTTTTTTTACAAAATTCTCTCAAATCTCTCTAATAAAATGCAGAAAAATGTAAACCCTAGATCTCAACTCTTGTTTTCTGCACCCTTAGACTTTCTCTAAGTCTTCCACACTGATCATCCTCTCGTCTTAACTACTTCCCCGACTTCTTGACTCCCAAATTCGTGCATAATCAACTGTAGAAACTGTCTCGAACAGTTTTGGCGCCAAGGCGCCGCTGGACTGGCACCAAGGCGCCGCTGGACTAGCGCTAAGGCGCCACTCTATCTGTTTGCATGGATAATAACTGGCGCCTAGGTGCCAAGGCCCCATTGTCTTTATTAGCTGGATATGACCAGCACTTAGGCGCCGTTGGACTGGCGCTAAGGCCCCAGAGTAGAGTTTCTTGGCGCTCAAGGATGGCGCCTAGGCGCTAGTGTGCTGAAAGCATCTTGTTCCCCAAGTGCTCTGTTTCGTCTTTGTTGCACTTCATTTCTGCTCCAATCATCCTACCTGTTACACCTGCAATAAAAACACAAAAAAATGCTTTTTTATAAAGTGTTATTTCATAAAAAATAAGTGTTAAAATCTAAAGAAAGTTGAGCATGTTACAAGACATATCACATATCACCAAAAAAATGTCATCCAAAAAATCCTCAGAACCATATTGCCGAAAAGAAGAGAGGAACTTGGTTGCTTTCATTAGAATTTCACATGTGACACCAACCAACAACGACTGACAGACCATCCAGAAGAACTCTTAAGGTCAAACATCTCATTATTGATCTCTTAAACACACCAAAAGAAAAACAAGTGAAACACAAATGGGAAAAAAAATACACTTACAAATACCGCAAAATGTTCAAACAATCAATATAAAATGTGAAGTCCTAATAATTTTGAATAAAAGAAATAAAGTACAACTAGTATTAAATACAGAAGAAATACTCCAATCACCCTCTTATTATCAAATTCGTAATTTGTTTCATCAACACTATCATCTCCTAAGCACCTTCCCCATCTTTAGTATAAGTGGTGTAAGCATCATTCTCAAGCTTATCATAGGCAAATACATGCTCATGATCCTTGTTCGCCCTACAGAAGTTGATGTTGTTGCAAGAAGGATGTCGTTGAATGTAATTGTGGAGAGTCATCGTGATAATCACAATCTGCACACCACCACACAACCACACAACCCGAGGCACACACACATCACAATCCAGAGCACCAAACAACAACACAATCCAGACCCAACACACACACGCACTAGATAGAAGCAACCTAGCTACATATTCATACACAACCAACAACCACCACACCACCCCAACTTACAACCACTATAACCCATAACCCACAACGCAAATTATAGGAAATATGCTATGAATTCACAGAGACACCAGAGGCACAGACACCAACCCAAAGCCACACCCACCATCACCCCAACCACAGCCAACGTCCCAAATAATAACCACCACAACACTCAAGAACCCACAACCACATCCAACACCCCAACCATAACCAACACCCACTTACAACAGTCGCAACCACAATCACATAACCACAGCCAGCATCCCAAACAACAATCACCACGAAAACCATGGAACCCATGTCCACATCAAAGCACAGCCAGTACCCCAACCACAGCTAGTACCCCAACCACAGCCAACATCCCAAATACCAGCCATCAACAAACTCGTAGAACCCATAGCCACATCACGACATAGCCAGCACCCCAACCACAGCCAGCGCCCCCTTACAACAGTCACCGCCACAACCACATAACCAAATCCAGCATCCCAAACAACAGCCTCCACCAAAACCATAAAACCACAAACACATCATAGCACAGCCAGCATCCCAACTGCAACCAAGAACCCAAACAACAACTATCACACCAATCAAAGAACCACACAACCCACTCGAAAACCAGTCAAAAATGAAATCGCCCTAATTGAAAATCAATCGAAAAAATAATAAAAAAATCAGCAAAAATAAACCAATCATTTGAAAACCAAAAGGAGAACATCCAATCCAAAAAATCATAATGCCAAAGAGAAGTTTGAAGAGAATACCAGATGCCGAAAGAAAGGAAAGAATCCAACCAAACACGAGACACCGATCACGGACCGGACAGAAGGAGGCGACCTGGGAGTGAGAAGCTCAGGGCGACAATGAGGAGGGAGAGGCTCAATCGCAGCAAGGGGGATGGAGAGGCTCGGCCGCGAGAAGGGGGAGGGAGAAGTGTCGCAAGGGGATAGGGTAGTAATCGGAGCTGCCCGCAACACTTGCTGTATAAAAGGAAATGCAGGCCGCGATTTTGAACTCATGGCCGCATTCCACTGAACTTCACGACGTGTTGCGAAAAAACATCAAAACGAAATAAAAAAAAAATGCATTGTGGTTTGGGGCTGTGTTCAACGAAATAAGAGGCCCCAGAGAGGGCCTTAGAAGTATTTTATAAATCCAAATTCATGAAATCTATTGGGCATGGCAAATGTTAGATTTTATTATATTTTAATGAATTATTTAGCCAGATGTTTCAAGATTTAAGGTATGCAGGCAAGAGATATCATTAAATATAATAACTCTTGTAAATGATGAGATTATAAAAAAAACACATTTTTTATGCATAAATAAAGTGACATATATATAAAAAATAAGTTTAGGTATTTGATATATAAATACATAAGAATTGAGTGGTACCTGAGTAGGTCTCCCTAATTTATAAAGCTAATTAATTTGAATGAAATGTACATAATTCCATCAACCATGCATCACTACAAAATGGGCTCTTCTTGCAACTTGCAAGCCAACAGCAACGACCTTCTTTTGGCCGAAGACGACAGTCATAAGGCGAGGCAATACAACCACGGCGAGTCTTTGAGAGTGGATTAGAAGCGGCTGGCCGGATAGATCATATGAAAAGGGTGGCTACCAGAGGACAGAGACAGCAGGGGAGAGCAAGGCGCCTTGGCGGCTATGATGGCACGGGCAGTGGCGGGGAACAGGAGTCATAGATGAGGGCTGCAATGTTTGGACGAAGGTTCCTTTGCAGCTGCCCGCAGCTTTTCCAGCGAGCTCCGAGGGCTGAATACAGGAGATTAGTAACGGAGGGAAGGAGATTAATGGCGGAGAAGGAGACGAACGTTACGGGGGGCGCCGGCGTGACCTAGGGTAGAGACGGAGCGCTCCTTCCGACATTTCGTTGATTTCTACCGGTTCTACCGTAAAAAACCAAGTTTGGGTGCTTTATATGTAAATTCAAGTTTATTACGAATATCCAGCAAATAAAATAAAGTGTCGTATACCGATTGAATTTATTATAAAATCAGTGCAGTGTATAAATAATCAATCAAAATTTATATTACACTTTTCTCAATGTAACTGCATTTGGTATAAATAAATATTTTCATCCATAAGTAAGGTGGCACTTTTATAAATTTCAGTTTAGGAAATGCATAGGAATTAAGTGATATGCATGTAAATCTTCCTAAAATTAAACATATGATAATGGCTAATCAAATGACGTTCATTATTAATATAAACCACATTCTACAGTGCAAGCAAACTTTAGGCTCATAAATACTGTTAATTATCTCCGATCGGACAAACCAGATGCAAAATCAGTACAAAGATAACTGAACAAATACTCCTTAAGGTTTTCTGTGCGAAGCCGGATGTGGAAGATAAACTCCTGAAAGCCAGGTAATTCAGTCTCACTTGGTGGATACAGCATTTGGCTCTGCAGCTATTTTTCCTTCTGCTACTGCTACTTCTGGAACTTGTGTTACTTCTTTTTGGCTTGATTTAGCATCACTAACGCTGGATGCTTCTTCTGATGTTATTTTCTTATCAGCTTTCTTCACTTCAGAATCGCCATCTTCTTTCATCTGAGGCGGAGGGGTATGCTTAAGCTTCACCAGCAACTGACGCATCCTGGATAGATCGGTAGGCTTTCCAGGTTTTGGCCCCGGAACCACCGTAATAGATGTTTTCTTCTCCTGCTCTTTCTTCCCTCTCGTCTTAATAGTCGGCACTTCATTGGGGATGATTTCTGTTATAGCTTTCCAGTAGTGCTTATCAGCATTAGCATGAAAATTCTCTTGGTTTGTTAAGAATTGAAAGCACCTTCTCTTTTTCCCTGTTGTTAGCCTTGTTGATGTCGGCATCAAGTCGGCGCTTCTCATAGAAGGCTAGTTTGAATTCGTATGCCTCTGCGATGATCTGATTCCGGATCTCCTCTTCTTTTCTTTCCTTCTCCTCAAGATGAATTGCGTTCTGCCTGTGTGCAGGATTAACAGGTAAAAAGTGCTATGTGGAATATATTTTTAACACCGGAGATCTGGAATAAGTTTATATTAAATAGATATGATATGAAGATTAATACGTGAAAAACAGTTTTAGCATCCAAGAAACATAACAAGCAACTACAATAACAACAACAAAACCTTTAGCCTACTAAGTGGGGTCGGCTACATGAATCCTTTTTCTCCATTGCGTCCTATTTAGTGTCATATTTTCATTTAACTCTAATAATTTAAGATAATTTCTTTATAAAATCTGCCCAAGTCTTCGTGGGTTTACCTCGTCCTTTCTTAAGATAAGTCGAATCTAGAACATCTACTCTTCTAATCGGATCATCAGATGGTTGACACTTAATGTGACCAAATCATCTAAGACGACTCTCCCTAATTTTTTCTGTCACTAGAGGTACTCCAACCCTATCTAGGATATATTCATTTCGTATTTTGTCTCTTAAGTGTAAAGCCACTCATCCACCTAATCATTCACATCTCCGCAACACTTAACTTAGTTTTATGCTTCTCTTTTAAAGGCCGGCATTCGCCGCCATAGAACATTATGGGTTTTACCACGATTTTATAAAATTTTTCTTTTAGTCTAAGCAATACTTTTCTATCACACAATAGGTCTGAAGCATTCCTCCACTTCAACCAACCAAATTGAGTTCTACTAATAACATTCCCATCAATATCACCATCACTTTGAACAATAGACCCGAGGTATCTAAAGCGTTCACACCTTTTAATAGTTTGATCACCCATAGCTACAATTCAAACAACTACAGAACATAAATTTTGAAACCAAAGACTTCGCTAGTAAAACATGTATTTTATGATGTAATTGTGAAATACTAAAATAGATGGCAAATATAGTCAACATACAAGGTAATAGAATAAAAATGGCTAAACTTTGGGTCAAATTACTCTTATCAAAATTTTGGTTAGAAAGGATATCATGTTAAGGAAGTTGAAGCCTGGTGCTCTACTCTGTTTGGGCAGGTCTTGCAGTTATAGAATGTATTTAACATATTTAAATACTTTTCTTTTCTAGGGTTTACAAATTGAGGAAAGGAGCTTTAATTCCTTCCTTTAATAATTCATTTTCCAGAAATTAATCTCCCGTCATTGCTTCTGGATTCGCTAATCAGAGATCTTAGCTTCCTTATGTGGGCCGAAGAAAAGAAAAGAGGTATTAACACTTCTAGTATATAGCAGGTAGCCAAAAAGCTTGTTAATTTCCTTCTTACGTTTTTGGCTTACGGGTGAGGAAGAAAGAAAATTGCAACTTTGTTATATCCCGTTTCTTCTTCTTCTTCTCGTGTAGCTCTTGATTAGAGGGGGAGAGAGAGGTGAGGCGAGAGAGAGAGAGGTAGAGTCCAATATAGTTTTCTTGTAATCGTCGAGGCGATCGACAGGTGCAATCCTCAAAATAATAAAATTCTCTGCAGCTTTGTGGACGTAGGTAATTTATCAAACCATGTAAATCTTTGTATTTCCATATTTTTTGTTTTGTAAATTTCTCATTCCAATTTTTTGTTTTATTGTCATCATTTTTTTCATAATAATTGGTATCAGAGAAATTTGATGGCACAGATTTTGGTTACTGGAGGATGTAGATAGAGGACTACCTCTATAAGAAGAAACTTCATCTTTCATTACTAAGAAAACAAGAAGAGAAGATGGATGAAGTTGATTGGATATTGTTGGTTCGTCAGGTTTTAGGTTTTGTTCGATTAACCCTGTCAAGATCCATTGCCCACAACGTCATCAAGGAAAGGACTATTACAAATCTCATGGCAGTTTTATCAGGTATGTATGAAAAATCATCTGCAAATAACAAGTTGTTTATGATGCAAAAGTTATTCAATTTGAAGATGGTGAATGGTACATCTGTTGCACAACATCTGAATGACTTTAATATTATGCAAATCAATTATCGTCTGTGGAAGTTGAATTTGATGATGAAATATGTGAACTGATATTGTTGGCTTCATTACAAAATAGCTGAGAAGCCATAAGAATGGTCGTTAGCAATTATATGATGAGATACGTGCACTGATATTGTTGGCTTCATTGCAAAATAGCTGAGAAGCCATGAGGATGGTCATTAGCAATTATGCAGGAAAATTTAATATGAAATATGATGATATTTGTGATTTGATTTTGGTTGAGGAGGTATGCAGGAGAGATTCTGATGAGACCTCGGGTTCGAGTTCAACACTGAATGTTGATTCTAGAGGGAGATCACAGAGTAGAGGCTCAAACAGAGGAAGATCAAAATCAAAACATGGAGGCAAGAGCAAATCAAAGTCTATTAAGCAAGCAACTTGCTGGAATTGTGGCAAAGCTGGACACAAAAATTCAAAGAGGACAGGGAACGTCAGTGCTAATGTTGTAATTGAAGGAGTGCAGGATGGACTATTGCTGACAGTTCAAAGTTCTATTGATGACTGGATACTGGATTCAGGGGCTTTCTTCCATACATCTTCTCATCGGGAGTTGATGCGGAATTATGTTATATGTGACTTTGGGAAGGTATATCTGGTAGATGGAGAGCCTTTGAATGTGGTGGGGATGAGAGACGTTAACATAGCACTCTTTAACAAGAGCAAATGGACTTTGAAAAAGGTCAGATACATTCTTGAGTTGAAGAAAAATCTCATTTTTCTTGGGCAGCTCGATGAGGGTGGTCATTCAGTAGTGTTCTCAGATAGTACCTGTAAGATTACCAAATGAGCCTTAGTACTGGCTCAGGAAAGAAAACTGACATGCTATATATGACTACAAGTTTACTCAACACTGTTGTTACTACAGTTGCAGAGAGCACGACAGGTTTGTGACATTGCAAGCTTAGACACATGAGTCGGAGGGGTTTGAAAGAAATTCAGTCCAGAGGCAAGCTACCAGAGCCGAAGTCAATTGATCTCAGCATGTGTGAGAGTTGCATTATGAGGAAGCAGAAGAATGTCAGTTTCCTAAAAAGTGGCAGGACGTCAAATGCAGGAAAACTGGATTGTACACATAGATGTGTGGGGACCTTCTCCAGCAACATCACTTGGAGGCTCTTGTTACTATGCTACATTCATTGATGACCACAGTAGAAAGGTAAGGTTTGATAATCTACCAGAGGCCACAATACAGAGAAGTGCTAGAAGTGACGAGGAGAGTGGGTCCGGGGCACCCATTCATATTGTTTTGCGTCAGCTTCAGAGCCATCCACCCCAACAGCTACAGTTCGCCGGTCAATCAGGAATAAACGTTTCCCTCAGCGTTACTCACTGAAATTAAACTACTTTCTACTGACAGATGGTGAAAAAACATAGAGTTATGAAGAAATTTTGCACTGTGAAAATTTGAGCAAGTGGGAGATGGTCATGAATGAGGAGATGGATTTCCTGTTAGGGAATCAGACTTGAGAGCTGACAGAACTTCTACCAGTGAAGAAGACATTGCACAACAAGTGAGTGTATCGGGTGAAGACTAAGCATGTTGATAGTAAGAGGTGCAAGATTACACTTATTGAAAAGGGTTTTCAGCAAAGACAGGATATTGCCCATACAATGGGAGCTGTAAGCAGAAACATAAGTAACCCAGGAAAGAGCTTAGAGTTACAAAGTTATTTTGATGTTGATATGTTGACTAAGAGTGTTACTCTTGAGAAATTGAGGTTGTACTCAACTTCAGTTGGTCTTCTAACTTGAAGACAGGGGATTTGAGTTGCAGAGGTGGAAGATATCATGTTTGAAGAAAAAACGATGCAGCCAGTGGATGGTGTAGCTAGTGGATGTTGCAGCTAGTGTTCTAATCTCCAAGCGGGAGAATTGTTAAGGAATGTGGAGCCCGGGTCTCTACTCCGTTTGGGCAGGTCTTGCATTTATAGAAGGTATTTAATATATTTAAATACATTTTTTTTCTTGGCTTCACAGATTAAGGAAAGGAGTCTTAATTCCTTCCTTTAATAATACCTTTCCCCGAAATTAATCTCTCACCATTGCTTCTGGATTCGCGAATCAGAGATCTTAGCTTCCTTATGTGGGTCGAAGAAAGGAAAAGAGGTTTTAATGCTTCTAGTATATAGCAGGTAGCCAAAAAACTTTGCTAATTACCTTCTTATGTTTTTGGCTTACGTGTGAGAAAGAAATAAATTGCAAGTTTGTTATTTCCCGTTTCCTCTTCTTCTTCTCGTGTAGCTCTTGGTTAGAGAGGGAGAGAGGGAAGGTGAGGAGAGACAAAGAGGTAGAGTCCAATACAGTTTTTTTTGTAATCGTCGAGACGGTCGACGTGTAATCCTCAAAGTATAAAATTCTCTGCAGTTCCGTAGACGTAGGTAATTTGTCAAACCGCGTAAATCTGTGTGTTTTTGTATTTTATTTTTTATGAATTTTTCATTCCAATTTTTAACTTTATTGCCGTCGTTTTTTTCACAACATATCAAAGCCTTGGAACGGCTTTAAGGTGAGTGTAATACATATATAATTAATATTACACTTATCTTAAATTGGATTTAAGGGCTTTGAAACTACCCTGGCCACTTCCTTGTTAGGGGTTAGGATATTCTTAAATAAATATTTTGTGTAAAAATGAATCATGAGGCATGCCTTAAATAAAATTCAATGATAAATTACATTAGTTTGATAAACAGCTTCCTTTTATTATTTCTAATGAGACAAATGCAGCTCTCATCGAAATAAATTCAATGGTAAAATACAACGATACTTCGCTTCTAAAGAGAACAGCATAGTGCGCGGTTGTCGGAGAGACAGCTCCACTAGATGGAAAGATAATAAAGGTGCTGCGGGAAGTTCATTGTATTTTGCAGAGCACTTTAGATTTTTCATTACATATGATAAAAATTATGATGAATTTGATAATTTCAATACTAAGAGAATATTGAAGAGAACCAAAATCATTTCTTTGAAATTGTTGAAGCCAATAAGCTTCATTTCTGGCAATAAAGTCATAACTATCTCTAGTAATGATATGAATAGACATGTGGAAAAGCATTGCCAA